GTACTTAACATGCTAGAAAGTAGGAACAGGTTTTGTTGTCAGGAATCCACATTATAATCAGTCATACCTTTTCATCTTCTTTTTGTTTGAATGACAGAATGGGAGATTTATTTTATGTTGAATTGTCCTTTCTAAAGAAGCTTACGTAGAGAGTTGTTTTGCTTTGTAGTTATGTCGGAGGATATGGTCCAAGACGGTTATGAGGACATCATGAATATTGATATTTCAGCAGTCGCTATTGACATGATGAAAAAAAAATTTGAGTACATCCCGCAGCTAAAATGTATCATATCAATGATCTTATATTGATCCTTTTTTATAATCTTCATCTGTTGACCAAACACAAGCTTAATCCTTATGCAAATTTCCTTAATGAATCTCAAGACATGCAGATGGATGTCAGAGATATGAGCTTCTTTCCTGATGATTCATTTGATGGTGTAATTGACAAGGGTATGAGTCATTTACTGCTCTTAGTGCAAACCTTGCCATTTTTTTTTTTTGTAGAATATTTAAAATTAATGACATACTTCATATACTGATGATACTTTACTCTTGCTGTTCATTTACACTTGATCTCCTCTGATGTTTGGTCTAGGAACTCTTGATTCATTGATGGTATGTACTTTATTGTTGATTCTTTTAAACTCTTTTATGCAATATTTGCATGCTCTAATCCTCATATTTGCTTTATCTTTTAGTGTGGTACTGATGCTCCGATTAGTGCTGCTCAGATGCTTGCAGAAGTGTGTAGGTTGTAGACTATAGTGAGATTGATTTCTTGAGATTCGTGCAAAAACTCTTTAAATAAGTATGCGTCATTTTTCAAATTCTCACTCTGGCTGGTTTCTTCTTTGTAGACTTCTAAAGCCAGGAGGGACTTACTTGTTGGTAATCTTACTTCCATGGATGAAGCTTCAGTTTTATCACTTTGTTATGCATTCTAATGTTCAGAGGACCCAAATTGATTATCTAATTGCCATATGCAGATTACCTATGGTGATCCAACAGTAAGGATGCCTCATCTAAGACGACGGATGTATAATTGGAAAGTTACATTGTATAATATCCGTAAGTTTTTTTTTGCCTTTTCACTTAACTGAGAAGATATCTTTTACCATTGTGAAATTATTTATCATGGGTTGCATACAATTTTGTCTGTTGAACTGAGAGTCTGGATTTTGAGCTTGTGGTTGGTCAAGAATATAATAAAAAGCTGGAGAATTTGATTCAAAACTTGCATATTTGAGAACGTAACTGATGATTACTGCAGAGAACCATCATTTCATGTTGAGTAATATAGATTAGATTGTTTGTTCTCTTATTATAGAATCTTACAGTAAGTGCTTCAAAACTGCTGCAGCTAGACCTGGATTTCAAAAGCCAGAAAGTTGCAGTTCATCAAGGAAATCATTGTTGGAACCGATTCCGCTGGATGAAAAGGGATTCATTCCAAAAGACTGGGTTTTGGAAGATCCAGATTCTCACTATATATATGTTTGTAGAAAGGTGGATGATGCTGAGATAGACGATCAACTGACCTACCGGTTAGCGGCCAATTTATTATAGGCCTCCTGTTCTTGCATTGAAGCAGTGGATGAAGGTAGCTTCTGTCTTGTTGTAATGCTTTGATATATACCACAGACATTTATATGGTGTTTTGCTGTTTGTTCAAAGACTGAAGAAACTAGGTATCCACCATCATTGGGATGTTTTGTATTAATATTATGTTCTCTTGAATCAAACCAGTGGTCTTAGCTTGTAGATTACTCAAATTATTGTGATCACCAAAGGGTTATTACAGATTGCTACACACATTGTGTTATATTGCTTTTATATCAGTTTGTGTGGTTTTTGTTGTATCGTTCATGGAAATAGGGTTTTTACGTATGAAGATTGTTCTTTGCATAAAACAAAATTGTTTGGGGAAATTTGGTAAAAAGTACCCAGTTTGAAAATTTTATTAATTACAAGGACTTAAATTTGAGTGGGTGCAATTCTTTCTCAATTGGATGTAATATATCTAGTTTTGTGTAAATGACTTTCGTTTTAGAGGCTTCTATACAGTTGAAGAAAAGTTTTATCCGTTGAAGATGAAATGTATCATATACCTTTAGCTAGTAAACTTCTCAAACATGGATGTTTTACAAAATTTCCCATTTATTTGTTCCAAAAGGCCATGTTTTAAAATTATTTTAAAGGATTTTAAAGCCTAATATGATAAATGCATATGGACGGTTCCAATTTCTGTCCGTCATTGGAAAATTTGTTATTAAGGTCATGCGGTCAACATATATGTCATCACTTAATTTTATATCTTTCCTTTCCTTTCTTTTTTTTTTTTTTCCCTTGGAAAGAGAATTTTATATCCTTTTATGGTTACGTGCATGTGTGGTCGAGACGAGCCTTAGCTAATCGGCATTGGCCAATACCTGGACCATAATGGGCCTTAAGTAAGCTGGGCCCAAGTTGAGACCTACGCCTATGTGCATTAGGTCTTTCACATTTAATGTGCAGGAAACCATACTCATCAGCAATAAAATAGATGGCTATTAACATAGCAAGTTAGTTTTTTTTTTTTTTTGCCAACAATTTAGCAAGTTAGCTAACTGATGGTAATATTACTTCCGGTCCTTAAGATGAAAAACTACTCTTCCGATCTTAATATAAGATCCATTTAACTAATTTGATTAGATTAAAAAAGTTAGGTAAGTTAGTTAATTATAAAAAATATAACATATTTTTCTAAAACACCATAATCATTTTTCTTAATATCCCATCTTCCTCTTCTACTTGATTATGGTTAAGGGAGTATCCATAGGGGTAATTTAGAAAAAATTAATAAATATGAAAAATGAATCTTATATTTAGAATCAAAACTAACTCAATAATTAGGTCATATATTAAGGACCGGAGGAGTAATAGACTAATTTGAGTAGATTAAGAAAATTAGTTAAGTTAGTTATTTGTAATAAATATGTGTTGTTTTTTTTCTAAAATACCCTTGTTAACTAAGTATATTAGCTAAAACTACTTACAATAACTATTTAGAAAAAAAAAGATAAATATGACAGACAAAATGGATTGGAGTCTTATATTTGTGACCAAATTGAATGTCAAATTAGCTTTTACATTAAGGAGTAGAGATAGTAATAAGGTAATAATGAAATGGGTAAATTATGGTCTCACCCTGTATCATAATCAAAAAGAAATTTCCCCTTGTTTAAAATGCTATCCAAGCATTAAAATAATTTATTATTATTGTTTAGCTTTGATGAACAAAAATTGAGAAATAAACTTTCAAATTTATCTTAAATTTATTTTCTTGTTTTTATATTCATGCATTTTTTCAAATGACAAAAAGGGGTAGGTGTTATAGCTCTCCGAGATTAAAGTAGGTTTCACAATCACAACTTAATATATATTTATGGAGATATTTATAAATTATTAACCAACAAAGTCTTGATATTGATAACAAGATTCATAGATATATCCTTAATTGTTTTTTTTCCTTTTATATTCTTGCATCCTTAATAAAGGGGGAAAACGCAAACCGATATATTATTTTTCTTTCTTTTTTGATAAAATTATTTCTTTTTTGGCCCTTTCCTATTAAATTCTTCCAACCACGAATATGGCTTGGAAAACTCTAGAATTAACCAAAACCAAAAGAAGCAATTAAATTCATACCAATTTAGGAGGGTCCACTTTGAGGCTTATGAGGAAAAAAGAAGAGGAAGATGAGAGAGAAAGGGATGGGAGCAAGCAAGAGGTGGATCATCTTCAATTCTTCACATATCATAAAAGGCAAAAAGACAAAAACTCTTAAAGTAACAGTTCTTCTCCACATTTTTCATCACTTTTCCCCTACTTCTCTTGTTTTGGAAACCATCTTTTTGAATTTTTTGACATTCCTCTATTTACCCTTTTGCCACTTCCAATATTTTCTTCTTTTTTTCTCCTTTTTTTTTTTTTGAGATTTAATGCAATCCTCATTCCTCCATATTCAATGCTTTCCTCTCAAGTCTTTTTTTTTTTTTGGCCAGAGCTTCTTACCAGGCGAGCACCTACTTTTTGGTTATTTATTTATTTTATATACTCGATATTTTTGCAGGAAGCTAAATATAGATTATAAATAGCATCAACTTAGTTTGGCAAAGGGAATAGTATCAATTTAGTCTTCTTTGACTTTACCAAGCTGGAATATACCTTTGTTAAACACAAAAAATATAGATATATGTGTGTAAATATCTTTTTTTTTTAAATGTAAATCTCGTTTACACATTTTGGTGGGATTTAGAAGGGATCTCAATTCTTGTGCTCCTAACAACAGAAGGAAAACTATCAAAATCCGTTAAATTTGATTTGAATAATTTAAAATTTAAAAATTTTGATATAAAGTAATATTGTTAAGTTTATAATTAAAAATATTTTTATTATGTATTTTTCTGCTATCTAATATAAAATCATTGTGAAAATTAAAATAAATAATGTAGAGCATCCTAAACATTTATTAAAGCAACAAAATATTCACAATACTATAAGTGGCCCAGATATCATTTCCAAAAATATTCAAAATGATTCAAAATATCTCATTAGATGCTAGTAAGATTTTTTTCCCTTCTCTTTTACTAATTATCGAAGTGAAAAATCCCATAGTGAATGAACAAGTGTCAACTAGTAACTCATCAATCCTTAATTTTAATAATTTTTAATTATTGCAATAAGGGCAAGTGTGCATGTTACGTATATTGGATTTGAGTCTTGGATTTCAATTTTTTTCCCTCTCTATCTTTTTTGAATTAATTTTTTAGCAAATTGCTCCCTTTCTTTTTCTAGTTATCCCATTGCTATTAACCATTTTTTAAAAAAAAGAAATAATTAACATAAAGGTGAATTTTTGCTATTAAAAGCATTGTGAGATGTTAACTTCTCACTTTCTTACACTTTCCAGAAGACAGAAAGTACCATAAGAACACTACTCTTGACCTAATTCTGGTGGTGCCTATGCTATTAATTGCGGTTGCCATAAGTGGCAAATAAGAAAGAAATAGAAACAAATCAGGAAAAAGAAACAACAGCATATCTGAACAATTTTTCTCCTAATATGTCTATAAATGTAATATAAAAATTTTAACTAAAAGAATAAATAATTTCTCATAAAATATCTATATAATATGGAAATTACATCTTTTATTTCCAAGTTAAAAGCAACGACCTTTATCATAATTTATCTTTTAAATTCCACACAAGGTACGAGATTTACAATCTAATTCCTAACTAAAAGGTTAACATTTGAAGGGTTTTATGAATTTTGAATTCGTTGAGTAAAATAGGTAACACGAAAGAAGAAAAAGTGAATTGCCATTAAAAAAAATACAGATATAAAATTAGAAACAACCTGAAGAAGAAAATGGAAAAAGGAAATATAAGGAAGGAAGTGGGACCCAGCGGATACCCAATGGCACGAAAACACTCCAAATGTGGCAAAAAAGAGTCATGCACTACTCTAAATAGATAGATACAGAGCCATGCAAAGAAAGTTGCCGTTTCCAGTCTCTCGCCATTTGGGGTTAAAACGCTCTCTCTTCTTTCTCTCTCTCTCCATCTCTATTCCTCTTCTCCAAATTTAGAGTCTTTCCCTCAAAAACCCCTTCAAAACACCAAAGGGAGCTTTAGAAAATCCAGAAAGGAAGCTCCTTTAGGGGTTGCTAGAGAGGAAGAAAGAGAGCTCAATCAATTTCTCGAAACAGAGATCTCTGCATTGAACCCCGGATTGATCTTGACTCTGGTTCTGCTTCTGGGTTTTGATCAGTTGGGTCTCTGTGATTTCTTCTGAGTTAGAGAAATGGGTCGAGGGAAGATTGAAATCAAAAGGATCGAGAATGCGAACAGCCGGCAAGTTACATTCTCCAAGAGGCGTAATGGATTGCTTAAGAAGGCTCAGGAACTTGCTATTCTCTGTGACGCCGAGGTTGCTGTGATCATTTTCTCTAATACAGGGAAGCTTTTCGAGTTTTCGAGTTCTGGGTATGCTTTTAAATTTTTTTGAACTTTCGATTTCATTGCATGTTGTTTTTCACTACAGCCCCTGTTGTTTCTATAAACTAGGCTGGGAATTTCAGCGTGTTCTTGGAAGTTTGGTTGACATGAATTATGTCGCTTTTGTTCCTCTTTTATATATTTACATTATTTGCATGCGCTATTTTCTTCCATTTCTTAAAAAAAAAATAGTAGACTTCTACATCTTTGGCCCTTACTGTGTTATGTAGAGTTCCTTCGTTTCTGGCGTATCTCAACGCATTTCTCTTCATTTTTCTAAAACATTGTCGTAAATCACTTCTTTTCTCTGTCTAAGTTTTTATATGATGGGTATTTGTGCTCCTCGAATTGATCATCTTATCACAAGCTTCCTGAAGTGAATTTGAAGTAAATGAAAACTTGAACTTTTTCTGTTTCCTTTTTCTCGTTTTTGACTTCGTTCATATGACCTCTATCTCATATTATGAACTTGAATTGCCTTTTGAAGTTGTGTTCAGCAACAAGATGGCATGCACTGTTTTACTGCAACTGGGTGTCTTCAAGATTTTGAAGTGCCATGTTAATTTTTTGCACTCCTGAGATTTATGGTGCAGATTTTATATTTTTACTAATTGTCGTTGTATAAGCAGCTTGAATGATAGTTTTTGACCAGAAAAATCTTGATCTCATACATTCATATGCATTTGAGTAAACTCAGCATATGGCCTAGCAAATGATATAACATAGTTCCTACTAACCAAACATGTGTCTTTGTACTTGCAATTTACTCTTGCAGTATGATGCGAACACTTACAAGATACAACAAATGCTTTAATTCTTCAGAGGCTGCTGTGGTGGAATGCAAGACAGAGGTACTCTGTCATATATCCATGAAACATGAACACAGTAAAATTCATAATCTTTTCCCTAATTTAAGGTAGTTCATGGTTTCCTGTCCATCCAGCTACAAAGTGTGCCTCCGGCCAACGCACATTATTTTGTTGTGATAGTTAATGTTGGGGACTTTCAATATATCTTCCTTGATTTAAATAATACGCAGTTACTCATCCTTCAAGCTACAGAACTTCGTTGTTTGTGGAACTGCTATGTTAATCTAGTTTGAATGTTTTATTTACTTGTGGGCTCTACCTACTATTTAGGTATAAGTAATTTATATTCTTGACCTTCATGAATAAGCATTATAGTTGCTATCAAGTACGGACTTTATTGAGGATCCTATTAGCAAGCCTAACATAACTGGCCAATCTCTTGATTTCGGCTTGCAATTGATGTTCCTATATATATGTGTAATCTTGAATATTTATGCCAAATTTTGACATGCTGTATATGATACTCCACTTTCTACGACTAGAGATGGGAAATGCTGAAAAGCGACGGCACTATTAAAATTACTCTGGTACAAGTCTGCTGCACTAAAACTCCAATATTTAAGAACTGCAGATGAAATTAGGAAAAATGATCTCCTATTCTTGCTCTGCAAATATTAGGAATTTTAAAGCACTAGTGAGCGTTCATTAAACAAACAACAAGAAGCGAATTGCTCCAGTTCAAATGGCAGCATCTAGCAATTAAAAATTCTTTGCTTTCTTAACCATTCTTCTATTGCTGCTTCTTGCATTAAGTAGTTGGTACTTCCTTATTGTCATTTCCTTTTGATCCATTCGTGGGATTATCATCTAACAATTTTCTTTTTTCAGAAGAAGGAAGATCCTAAGGCAGTGGAGACTCTGAAAGATGAAATTGCAAAGCTAGAAAAGAAGCAGCTGTATGTATTTTCAATGTATTCTCGTCTTGTTTAATATATTATGCTCATTTGTGCATTTCTCATGAATATTAACTCCTGATTTTACAGGCGGTTATTGGGTAAGGACCTGACTGGGTTGAATTTAAAAGAATTGCATCAGCTTGAGCAGCAACTTAATGAAGCGTTATTGTCTGTCAAGGAGAAGAAGGTTTTTCTCATTTTACTCTATTCTCTTCTGTCTTTAGAGTTTTTTCCCCCACTAATAAACTATAATTCATTGGTTGGTATGTGCCTTAATGTTTCTTTACAGGAGGAATTGCTTTTGGAGCAACTGGAGCAGTCGAGAGTACAGGTATATTGGAATCTGACCTTATCATGCAGACTTTTCTCAAATGAGATAAATTAACATTCAAATTTAGGAGACACCGCGAGCCTTTTGTTAGTAAAAGTCAGGAATTTTGTGTTAACAATGGATCATTGCAAGATTTGAGATTAGCCTGGAAGTATTCAGTCATGAGCCATGACCAAGCAAGCCTGAAAGAAATCAAGCTCCTTTTAATGGATTAGTTGTCAACTCTTGGATGGGAATTTATTAATAGTTGGTTTTCTCAAGTATTCCCTATGTACAAGAATTAGCTATGAAGTTCTTTGGTAAATAGTAAGTTTGTATAATGAATTTTTCTAGTTATTGGGCTTGAATCCTAAACCGTCAGAGTTTCTCAAATTGACACAAATGGATGCACTTAAATCTCTATCATCTTGAGGATTGTGTGCTGCTTCAGCATGCACTTATATCTTCTCAAAAGTCACAAGGGGCGAAAATATATCTCTTCCGTATGGTAATGAACTAATGAGTTTAATTTATTCTTTCAGGAGCAAAGGGCAATGTTGGAGAATGAAACTTTGCGCAGGCAGGCAAGTTTATTTTACCAAATGTGAAATTAATTATACAAAATTGTATGTCTGGAACAATGTATTTCTTATGACTCTGTTTCTCCTGAAATGTGTTGCAGATCGAGGAGCTTCGCTGTTTGTTTCCTATAACTGAGCATGTGGTCCCATCTTTTCTTCAATACCACCATGGGGAAAGAAGGGACGCCCTGTAAATAATGGTGTCATAAGTTCCAACTTGGTCAGTAACTGTGAAAATGAGAATGGGGATTCAGACACTACCTTGCATTTAGGGTATTCTACTTCTCTTTGCCTAACTTAGAAACTGAGTTACTTGAAATCCTTATGCATTGCAATTTCTCTGTGAGCTATCATATTCATCAATCTCTTTTGTTGATTGCTATGTAAGCAATACCCATATATATCATTCATGTTTATGGTGGCCTCAGCTGCTTTGTGATCTACATTATAACTTGATAACTATCAAGGTTAGAACTTCAATGAATTTGCATTAGATGTTTAGCTATTATGTTTTCCTGCTAGGGCATAACATGTTGATCTTGTCTTCCCTAGAATTTTCGCATACTTAATTGCACTAAATTTTCTAAGGTGGGACGGTCTTCAAAAATAGATCAAGCGAACCATAAAAAGACATTATTATAGTGTACATAATGGATCTTCGTTAAAAAGTGTATCTGACATGCTTACATGTTCATTCGTGATTAGGGGGTATTTGGATGGAAATCAAACTATAGTTTCAAAAGTGATTTACAGTATACGAAGTAAATATATGGAGGAGTTTATCTCGATTTGCTGAAAAGTATTTTTCAAAAGCACTCTCATGCCATCCAAACACCCCCTAAAACTAGTCTCCCTAAGTTCATAGGTTCCTTAATATATTCTCATATATGGCTCCTGTCCTGTAGGTTGCCTACTGATGTTCATCACAAGAGGAAGGCACCTGAGAAAGAAACATTCTCCAATGACTCTGAATCTCAAATGGCTCTACTCTGATCCAAATCAGGGACCAGAAGAGATGAGACTAATTTAGTGAAGTTATAGTTGTGCACAGTAAGAGTTTAGGCTACAGGTGAAAGGTAGGATCCCTAGGTGACCCCTAAAAGGAAAAAAGAACTCGTAGAAAGTAGATTTTGGCTCTTCCCTTGTAGGAAATTGATTCGCAGGATGCAGAATTTTTCTTCCCCGTTTTTTTAACCAAATTTGGGTGTAATGAGCTGGGAAAAATGAAAATCATGAACCTTGTTTTTGAAAGATCCCAGGAAGAGAATGATGCTTTTAGCTTTTAGGCTTAATTTTATCATCCAATGTTCATTTTTCATTGTCTTCTTCCTTTCTCCTTGGTCATTTATTATAGTTGGAAGCTTAGATGCAGCTGCATAAATCGGCATTGCGGAGATAAAAGGGTTACTTATCAATGGAATTTTAAATCATCCTTGGAAGTGTTATTCAACAGATACCTTGTGAAGCTAAATCTGTCACCTCCTCACCCTCTGGGAGATTGAAAAGAAAGAGTTTCTTAGCTAATGGGTTGAATTTCTTAACAAAGATTTTTTTCTTCGTAAACTTGGAATTAGATTAAATTAATCATTAGTAAACATGAGATTACATTACTGTATTTAGAAGAGTTATATTTAATTTTTGTTTTCTAATCAGATAATTGATGAGAAATTTATTTAAAGCATGTTTGGATGCATGTTGCCAAGTAGGGCAGGTCATGAAGCACAAGGTCCCCCCCCCCTCCCAAAAAAAAAACGTAATGAAAATATTTCCAGCCCTACCCACTTTTTTCATGATTTGGCTTGGATAACATATTTCATTTTTTGGGCTGGGCAGGTAGCCATTTAAGCCTTCAAGCACATTTAAAAGTGTGCCCGTGCCCTTGTCTCAAACACAATAAATAAAAAATCAGACTGGATACTAAACTGATGGAGATAGTAGTTCAAGAGTTATGTGATCAAACCAGAATCAACTCAGAGTCAAATCAGTCATATTAAAATAAAATAATTTACTTGAAAATAATAAAATACAATAACATCAATAATCACTAATAATAAAATACAAAGAAATACAACAATAATTTGGTTGTAATAAGATCAAAGTATAATAACATTAAGAGTTTTGATCTTTACAATTCATTAATAACTAAAATTAATAATTATTGATACCAAAATCACTACTAAAATTTATTCAAATTTATAGTAACTGAGATATTAAGAGTTGAACGGAAAAAAAAGGATCAATAGCAATATAATCATTCAAATTAGTTCATCATCAGTTCACATAAGTTTTTATCAGTTTTCACCGGTTCACACTGATTTCACTGGTTCAATATCAGTTTAACTCTTGATCGGTTCATTGCCTAAACCGGAACCAGCCGATTCAGTCTGATTTTTTTATTCTATAAGGGGGTTTGTCGTGGCTCCATTGACCAAAAAAGGATAATCTGTTTTCTTTGGATGAAAAAAGATAATTAATAATTATATTTATAAGATTTTTTTTAAAAAAAGAATGTTAACAATAAAAATTTATCTTATTTTCTTTTATACAAAAAAATTTAGGCTGGTTGGGTTTCAAGAGTCGGTTTTTGTCTTTTGAACATAAATTGGGCTTTTTCTGGTTACACATAGATATACTCCTATTAAAGATAATCTTGTTTGAGAATAGAGCAAAAAATCAGATTGAATTAGCCGATTCAATTGGAAAACCAGTGAATCATCCAGTGGTATCGAATTAGTCAAGAGCTGAGCTAGTATCAAATCAGTTTTCAGCTCTTGACCGATTCACTATGTAAACCAAAACTGCTCAGTTTAGTTTGATTTTTTTGTTCTATGAGGGGAGGTTGTCGTGACTCCACTGAACAAAAAAGGACAATCTTTTTTTTTTAAATAAAAAAGGACAATTAATAATTATATTTATAAGATTTTTTTAAAAAGAATGTTAACAATAAAAATTTAGGCGGATTGAGTCTCATGAGTCGGTTCTTGTCTTTTGAACATGAATTGAGACTTTTTTTGGTTACACGTAGATATCCTCCTATTAAAGATAATCTTATTTAAGCAAAGAATAAAAAATCAGACTGAACTGGCCGATTCACTGGTTTTAAACCAGTTAAGAGGTGAACTGATATCGAACTAGTTAAACTGGCATGAACTAGTAAAAATTGATGATGAACTAGTTTGAATTATTATGTTGCTATTGATAGAGGCAGGAATAATAGGGCCAACGAGTTTAAACAAGCCAACCCTACAAGGTTAAAATTTCAAAAATACTCAAACTAATGAAATTATTAATAAAATACATAAATGTGAATAAAATTAAGTTACAAATACAAAATATTACTATATCTAAATATTTATCAACATCCGAGAATATCTAAAACATCCATCAACCAGACAACAACATTCAAAAGTTTTATGAGTAGTGCAAATGTGTAATAAACAAATACTATTATTAATTTTTTAAAATTTCATCATCACTATAATCAATTGCTCTTCTTTATGAGTATGCTCTTTTTTCTTAGTTAAAATATCAAGTTTTTCTTCTTTATAGGAATTTTACTTTTAAATTTTACACCCTAACTATTATTTTACTTTAGTTTGACAAGTATTTGTTGAAACTCATAAATTTTTAATTCAAATTATAAAATAACAAGTAATATAAATATAAAAATACTCTCTTATCAAATATATATAGTTTTAAAATATCAACACATATAGTATAAATCAAATCATTATTAAAGTCCAAATTAACCCATTTTTTTTAAAATTTAACTAGATAAATTATTGTCTAAAACCAAATAAATCAAATCATTTTGTGAAATTTAATTTCAAAATGATAATATTTAAAGTATCATTAAAAATGTAAAAAAAATTAATAATATTAAAATTACACAAAAAAATTTTGAAAAACAAAAAAGTATAAAACGGCCTAAATGGCTGACCCTCAGCCCTGCAAGGCTAGTCTGTTTAAACCGTCGATCCTACAGGGCCAACCTTTTTAAGCCCAATCCTCATAATTTTTGAGCCTAAATGAGCAGACTTGACAAGTTCGATCCATTTTCCTTGCTCTAGTTATTGATCCTATTTTTTTTAATTTAACTCCTACTATCTCAATTACTATATATTTAAATGGATTTTAGTAGTGATTTTGGTATCAATAATTATTAATTTTAGTTATTAATGAATTGTAAAAATCAAAACTCTCAATGTTGTTGTATTTTGTTATTGTTACAATCAAACTATTATTATATTTCCTTATATTTGTTATTAGTGATTATTAATATTATTGTATTTTGTTATTTTTAATTAAATTATTTTATTTTAATATGATCAGTTTGACTCCGAGTTGATGTCAGTCCAACCAACTAAGTCTTGAACCACTACCTTAACCAGTTTAGTGTTCAGTCTGATTTTTTGTCTTGAGAGGCTAGTCTTGCCCAATGAAAAAAAAAATATCGGATCGAACCAGCCGACTCAACCAAAAAATCAATGAGCTGGCCAGTGATTTGGTTTGGTGTAATCAATGAAGCAGCTACAATTCAAACCGATGGCAAACTGGTAAAAATAATGTGAACCAGTTTAGATAATTATATTATTATTGATTCTATTTTCTCTGATTCAGCTTTTAATATCTCAATAATTATGAATTTTAATAATAATTTTAGTATCAATAATTATTAATTTTGATCATTAAGTAATTATAAAAATCAAAATTCTTAATATTATTACACTTTGTTATTGTTATAATCAAATTATTATATTTTTATTATATTTTGTTATTAGTGATTACCATTGTTGTTATATTTTTTAATTAAATTGTATTATTTTAATATGACAAGTTGAATCTTGATCTGACTCGTTAATTTTTAAACCACTACATCAGTTTAACTATCTTTATTTTTTTCTCCCCTGATCCCACCCCATATGCTGAAAAGCTCTCTCTGACCAGGGACCCTCCCCCCCGGGGGTGGGGTGTCAAGCAGCACGAACGGCCAAGATCTGTTGCAATGTTAACCGCTGAGATACTTCCTCAGTTGTCACGAATTAAAACGCTGCGTTTGAAAGGGCGGCTTCGGTCGCTTTCCTGAAACGCGGAACACGTCATCACCAGACGAATAATAGTAGCATAGTACTCCTCCGGTCCTTATTATAAGACCCAATTTGACTTTTTATTTGGTCCTAATTATAAGACCCAATCCATTTTCTCTCTTATATTTATGCATTTTTTTTCAAGATAATCCTTCTAATAATGATAGTTTTAGCCAATATACTTAATTAGCAAGGATATTTTAGGAATAACAACACTTATTTATTATAAATAACCAACTTAACTTACTTCCTTAATCTCCTCAAATAAGTCAATTGGGTCTTATAATTAGGACCGGAGGAGTAATATAATAATACTGACACGGCAGGCTCATAGGGGCCCGATCAACCTACCAAGCAACTAGTAGACTACTATTCATTGTCAACACCTTAACGCGTAGAAATTAATCTTTTTGAAAAGATATAGGTAGCCAAAACCAATTTCTTTTGAAAAATCATATATTCTTCAAAGATAAGTACAAAATCACTGTACTACTATTACGCAAAGAAATTACAAAATATTTACATATATTATTATTAGCATTACTAACATCAATACACCCAAAGGACAAAGACCCTTTAAAAAAGAAAAAAACTAAAAAAAAAAACATAATCCTGTCAATCTTGAACGGTAAAATTCAGATCAAGCAACGGATTTTTTCCTAGGTGATCGGTCTCTGAATCTGAAGCAGTCAATCAATTCGTTTCTCTGTGTCATGACCTTGTTAAACATATCATCAACCTCCTTGCTCAGATCGTCCAATCCTTTCTGGAACGAATCCACCTTCTTCTGTAACTCCATGGCCGCATCATCTTTCGCAGCATCTTCAGAGTCGGAAGCAGCAAGAAGATCACCCACAGCATCGTTGATCTCATTCACCTCCTTCAAAACCGGGAGTTTCTCACCGATTTTTGAATCTACCGGGAGAAGAACCGAGCGAGATCCAGGAGACCCGCATGATTTTTTCCTGATTTCCATATACGAGCCGGCATCGCCGGCTACAGCTGAGAGAACAATTCCACACACCCAGAATCCTACACTTCTTAGTTCATTAATAGCCTCTCCAAGAACCCTTTCTTTCCCAGAGAAATCCTTTGATTTCTCACTTCCACTGCTAAATCCACCCTCCAAATTGTGGGTAATCTTGTTATGGTTCTTGCCAGAACCGATTTCAATTCCCTTCAGATGATTCTTCGCGGAAGAAGCCGATTTCTTGAACTTAATCAACCCAAAAGACAGAGAAAGCCGAGATTGACCGATGTGAGAGAGAGAAGAAGAAATTACATTAAAAAGCTGAAGCAAACCCAAGCAGTAGTCGAGATACCCTTCGATAGAATCAGAGCTCCACTTACTGATCGGATAATCGATATCAACAGCCAGATTCGCAAACGCCTTGTGGGCAACCGGTAACAGCCCAAAGCACTTGTTGATCCAGGACAAAGAAAGGTTCGGAGGGGCGGGATTTCCCAAACTGAACCCTAATTGCGTGACCAACTTGGAAATCTGGGACCGAAAATCCTGCAGAGAAGCAGAGAGAGCAAGTTCCTCCTGTGAATCATGACGAAGAGGAGGGGTTTGCTTCTGAAACCTGGCGAATTTCTGAAGTAACAGTGCCATCGGAGATAAGCAAAACACAAAACGAAGATTAGAGAGGAAGGGACGAGGTTTGAATGTTTGGTTGCTAAGGTTGGAGAGAGAGGGTGAGGATTAGGTTTTATATAAACGTTAAAAGGACGGAGGAAAAGGAAAAGTCAGAAACAAGGGGTGTGGCTTTTTGGTAGGGAGGTAGTCAAATCAGTCGACTCGGTTTTGCGTTAACGCTGGGGACACGTTGTTCTTGATCTCGACCGCATCGCCGAAAGTGGGTCCACGTGCAGAACCCGCAGGTTCCGGGAAGGAGAAGTTCGTGAGGGGGAACAATCTAGAGAGAGAAAATGTGTCACCCTCTCTCTCTCTCTCTCTATAGATTTTTTCATATACGACCGTAAAACATAAAATATCTTTGAAGCCCCGTGAATCCGTGATCAAATTAATAATTAATCATCTAGATTTTTCCCATGAATTCAACGGTAGAATTATAAAATATCTTACACAGTAAACAAAATTTAAAAAAAAAATAAACGTACGCAAGGTTACTTATTCCCTTTGGGAAATTATTGCGATGGATTATAAAAGATCTCAAATATCTAAAATTATTTTGAAAGCCTAAGGTCTTTATTATTTGCAAAAGAAGAAAATCATAAGCATAGTGACCAATTCATTCCTGACTAAGTGTTTAGGTGAAACCAAATTATAGTTTTGAAAATAATTTTATGATATATAAAGTAAATATATAAAATAAGTTTTATCTTAGGAACAATTGCACTGAGGTCCCATACATCACAAAATACAACAAAAAAGTCCCACCAAATTCAGTAATGCCTTAAAAGTCTCAAAAGGACCTGATTGCATTAACAGAAAAGATGAAAATACTCTATTGCCCTTAGCTAATAGAAACACTAAATCTTATCAGGTTTTCCCCTTCCCTCTATCTTAATTGGTGTGAAATCATTTAGCAAAAATGCTTTTTCTGCCAACGAAACACCCTTTAGGGCCTGTTTGGTTTGAGGGGAGGGAGGGGTAGGGAAGGGGAGGGGAGGTTTTATCCTCACCTTGTTTGGGTTGATTAAAAAGGAGGGGAGGGGAGGGTATTTAATGATCCCTTGTTTGGTTCAAGGAGGGGAGGGGAGGGGAGGGATAGTAATAATCAATTTATCATTTTACCCTTACATATTAGTTTATGTTTTTTATTGATATATTATATAAATTAATTTACATCTTAATTTAAATTATATAATTTAATAAAAATTCAGTCTTATCATGTTAATATGTGTATTAAAAAATTGGTATAGTAATTTTTTATTCTAATTAATATAATAATATATTTAAAATAATCAAATTAACAAATTTTATATGCTCTAAGAAAAATGAAATTTTATTTTCTTTAGGCTATCTTTTTTTCCAGCTTTAAAATATATTTAATAAATAATATATTTATAAAAAACAATTAATTTTATATATTATAATTTTTTACTTAGGATAATATATTTTTTATTTGAAATAAATATTATAATAATATATTTTATGGGTAGAAGTGGAATATTAAAAAAACTATAAGGGCATAATGGTCCAAAATTTTGGTTCCCCTCCAAAAACCCCCAATTTCCCCTCTCCTCCCCTCCAAAATTTTTAACCAAATGAGAGGAGGGGCTCATTTTCCCTCCCCTCCCCTCCAACCAAACACACCCTTAAATCAATAAAAGCAAAACCTATCAATATTGAGGATGAGCAATGCTAAATACTCTAAATTAAGTTGCTGCCCATGTTGAAGTGCGTGACAAAGCTGTTTCTAAACCACAAATCTTCGCACTTACGAACAATTCACATCTCACAATGTCCAATGTTACGTTTTGCACTCGAAACGTGAATCCAAACAAGACGGAACCGAAACAGGGCAAAAGCCAAAGCAGTGACGTGACGGCTTTACTAATATTTGATCATATTTCGGGGGTCTCATTTTTCAAGCCATTATCTATGGTTCTTGGGACGTTAGAAGTTGAGGAAGTGAGCGCTTGGTGATTTTGATTGTTAGTGATTTTTCACCTGTTCATTTGGATTTAAATAAGTTAAAAAAGACCAGATTAAGTGTCCAGTTTGTTTAGATTCATTCCACTCCATTACATGATTAGGAATATTTGAGACTAGGGTTTCGTATGAAAGTGTTAGGTAATCACGATTGAATATGAGAATCACTAATTAAATTTGATTCTAACGGTTGATTTTTTTTTTGGACTAAATAATGGGTGGATTATGTTTAATGGAAGTAGAATTGGAGATTGATCAGTTTAATTTTATTTATTAGGATTAAAATTCTCATGTGGGTATGTTGGGGTCAAACCCTAAGTTAGAGAAATTATGACTTTCAGTTAAATTAAAGATCAATAGAGTTACTCATGTGGGTATGTTGGGTTCAAACCCTAAGTTATATGCTTGTGTTTATGTATGAATTTACGAAAAATAGTCATAACCATGAAAAAAAAATGCGAACTCTGTATTAAGTGAATTTATATGAATTGGTCTCATGACAAAAACATGGTCCTTGTCAATCTTGATGTAAACGATTCTAATCTCTAAAACTAGAGCAGGTAACAAAAAATTGATGAAAAACTTGTCACTATAAAAATTTCCTAAACCCAAAATTACTTAAAGACTTAGGTTTTTAAGCATGTTCGAAATTAAAAATAATTCTCCTAAGATGTGTTGCACGCAATTTACCCTTGGAGTGTTTAAATAAATTCAGATAATTTTTGTCAATGAAGTTTACCACGAGAGTTTTCAGTAATTTTCCGATAACTTAATCACACATATAAATATACATATATAGGGAAAGCGGTAAATAAACACCCTCAAAAATATAAAAATAAAAATAATAAAAAAACCCGTCAAAATAAAAAAATACACACAAGGACTGATTTATAAAAATTGTTATTAAAACTTATATTACTATTATCAAAACACTAACTGATATTATCATGAGGCTTTATTTGTAATTTTTTTATTTTGATGGTTTTTTTCTGTTATTTTTCCGATATAAAATTGCGATTTGCAAAAAGCGTGGGGAACGCATCACGCATGGGAGGAAATGAGCAGTGACTCAACGGATAGTGAGCAGATAAGGACAATATGATGCGCCAACTGTCGTTTGTCCATTTGTGAGGGGCAGGCAATAACAGGCATAGACGGCACAGAAGCGGGATCGTAAGAGCGAGGGCAAAACAGTGATTTCGATGGTTGCTCAGGGACGCGAAAGTCAATGGGCGCATTGTCATGTTGCGGGTGTGAACTGCGTCATCATCGTCAATTTAACGTTCAACAAATCAATAATCAATTCTATTAGTTTAATACTCTTCTAGTCCTTAATATAATATCTATTTAACTAATTTGATTAGATTAAAAAAGTTAGATAAGTTAGTTAATTATAAGAAATGTGAGACTTTTTTCTTAAAATATCATAATCATCTTTCTTAATATCCCCTCTTCCTCTTCTACTTGATTATGGCTGAGGGAGTATCTATAGGGTAATTTAGAAAAAATTGATAAATATGAGAAATGAGTCTTATCTTTAGGATCAAAACCAACTCAACAATTAGGTTCTATATTAAGGACTGAAAGAGTATTTAACTTGGTTTTAAACATGATATCTCAATTTATTTTATTTTTTATATTTATTTATTTATTAAGATAGTTTTTGTAGTAGCCACACGTATTAAAGATTTTATCAAATAATAATTTTAAGTAATACATATGATTAGTAATGATATTTTAAGAAAGACAATACTATTTTTTTTTGAGTAAGCAACACTAATTTTATTACAAATAACTAATTTAACTAATTTCATTAATCTAACTAAATTAGTCAACAAGCTCTTATATTAACGATCAGGAGACCGAGGTAGTATTAAGCAATAGTTGGCAAAAAATAAAAATATTATCAATAGCAAAAATAAATAATATTTCTTAGGATAACTCATAACAGGATAAGCATGCCGGGTTGCTTCCCTGAACATGCTATTCCAGTTTCAGTGCACCCAAATCCGAACTGGGATTATGTTCCCCCCATGCCAGTTTGGTTCTTCTGTATTCCTCTCCTATTTTATTTGTAGCCGTCCCTTCTGCGCTTTCATAGTTTCCTCCTAAGCCAATATTTTTTTATTATTTATATATCACTTCTAACATGAGATACGAACATATTTTGTGTTTGTTAACATTTTGAATTGTGAAATCAATAAGAATAATATTAAAAAATGAGTGATGGAGATAAAATATATAAGATCCTATTTATTTAGGGACAAACCACGCTCATCAGCTATATCTAATATTTAAGACTAATTAAATCCGGATCAGATCGCATGTTGGGATATGGGATTTGGGATCTATTTAAGCTATCAAATTGATCCACCAACCCAAAATAAATATAAAAAAAAGGAAGAGGAAGAAACAAATAACAATTAACAAAGAACTAAAATTGACATAAAACTTCAAAATGACAACATTCAATTATTCAAACAAAACGAGCAAGGAGAATAAGAACATCTGAAACATATTGATGGGCCTGAAATGAGTGCTTTGACTTCCACCTCGTCAAGTTAGCGCGGCAACCCTTACATGCGAACCAGCACGCGCTGACACAACTGGTAAGGGAGTTGTGTCCCTTAACCATCGCTTCTGGGATTCGATTCCTGGAGGGATGGGAATGGAGCAAACGTGTCTGAGAGAGTCGGCCCCATTTTGGGCTCGACAGTACCCGAGGAATTAATCATTGGGCTCGCTCTGATAGATACCCTGGTGAAAACCAAAAAAAACTCTTATATGCGAAGTTTTTGTTCATTTCTCACTCTTTTTCTATTATTAAAAATATAATAAATCTAATATCTCGTGCCACATGGTAATATTTACACCTTATCCACAATAAGATTGGAATTCCTTGTTCCTACTTCCAAGGAATCATATTCCTGCGCTCATCTTTTTCTTTTTCCAAAAAAAGGGGTTGGTCAACAATGACTAGAGGAAACATCAATTAAGATATGATGCTATCAAAATTTATTAATATGTTATTTATAATAATAATTGAGGCCAAAAATTCTTATTGGACCAAAAGCCAATGGGCTGAGTACAGTAAATTGTGGCCCATTCACAGAAACAATGATGAATTAATAAAGCCCACGTGTGACAGAAGTGGGTTCGTTATTGAGCTGACATTACAATGCGGTCATCACTGGATATTCTAGGAAGTCCAACATTTTGATCCAGCTCTTGTGAAATTATATTACGTGACATTTACTAATAGAGGTTAAGTTTAATGGAAAGGGTTAGTGTGTCATAATATAATAAATAAATGTTCAAATTTTTACTAAGAGAGATATTTATATTTAGTGCCGGACAATGCTTCTAATATATAAATACCCATACTTACCAAAAAAAAAATATTATGTGACATTTCAGTTAATGTGTGAGACTTTTGTCTAAGATGAATAAAAGTTAGGTTACAAAATAGTACTGCCTCCGGTATATAAGAGTTAAACAACTAATTTAAAGAGATTACAAAAATTAGTTAATTTGGTTATTTTTAATAAATGTATGTTGACTCCCCTAAATTACCCTTACTCAATCATTTACATTAAAACTATGTTTGAGTGAAAATACCTTACAATTAATAGGGATATTTTTGAGAGCACATTATGAATTTGAAAGATAAAGTGGATTAAAATATTATATTTAAGATCATGAACTAATTCTTATATTTAGGACCAGAGATAGTATTAATTTAATGATATAGTTTAATTTAATGATATAGTTTCTCAATTAGAGCATGTGCAAATGAAAGAAGAAGAAGAAGTACCTTCTATTTTAACTCAACGGTTCTCAAATGTATAAAATATTTTGCTTTTGATCCCAAATATTGCATATAAAGTTAGATATGCAAATAATACCCATAAAAGTGTGTATAATTCATTTAAATTGTAGTCCCAATTTAGGGAAATGCCAACTAAGAAGCTTCCCAAAAGAAATAGGGTCCAGAGAATGCATGGGTATTCCCATCACTTTCTTATCCGAATTTGACACTTAAATTAATTGGTCCGTTCCTCCAAAAAGGTTTGGCTTTTTTTAATAATAAAAAAAAAGGTTTGCATTTAATTGGTGCATTCCTTGAATATGCTCTATCATTTCCCACTCAAAGCCTACCTAATGCTCCATTAATTTTTCTTTCCCTTTCTAATTCTTCGTTTTGGCCTTCAGGTCAAAAAGCCTCTTTATTTCAGCTTTTGATGGTAGTAATTTTGTGCAAGAGCCACTTTGGTATTTTTGGTTTTTTATATTTATGTAGGGTCTTGTCACAGGTGATCAAAGGTGATTATTATTACTATAATGTTTATCTTTGTCATGTTTTTCTTTGATATACCAGAAATAAAATTGCCATGTTTTATGTATATAATCTCAGATCAAAGAATAATTTGCAATTTAAAATTTAAAATTTAAAAATATTTAGAATTGAGTTTCTTGATCATTATTTCATACTTATTGATTTGTTCAATATAAAGTAACATAACGAAATTTGTACTCCATATATATATATATTTCATTTTTTTCATTGTTTTTAATAGCTATCAATAATAGTCAAAATTAATCTCTAACTTAAAGACTAAGTTGTTGTGATGAAATTGGAATTAATTTGAATGGGGCCTTGACCAATTACTTAGAAGTGTGAAAAATAGATATAAAGAATGATATACTTCATTTCTGATTCTGTGAGTCTCGCGTACACATTATCCTATTCTTATAGATGACCTTTCTTATATTTTTGTGCAAGTATAAGTTTTTTTTTTTTGACTTTTATATATTTGTGTAGGGTATTGTCACGGGTGATCAACGGCCATTATGATTATAACTTATCTTTGATTCTTTGCCATGTGAATATATAGATCCATATATATAGAATTTCAAATCGAAGGAATAGTTACACAATTTTAGAAATATAATACTATATATATAACATTAAAATATTTAGACAGGGGTGTCAAAATTGTTTTTACACCATATGTAATATAATTTCATATTAATTAGCTCATCAAACTGATTATCATAATTATGACCTAGCTTATTTTATTTTGCACAGTTTTCACTGTGGCCTCTGTGATCTGAAAAATAAATAAAATAAAAACAACGTTTACATGGGCTGATGATCTTATTGTATACAAGCAGTATTAATAATATATCCATAGAATTTCTTAAAGTCATCATATATATGCAATATTAATTTTATATATAGTTGTTGTCAATGTGATAAAAATAAACTCGAATTGGTCTTTTGGACTGTACACTGAAAATCAAATTAGGTTTAGGATACTTCAAAAATTGAACTCCATAGAAATTAACCTAAAGCAGGCAAAATTCGTCGACAATTGATTCATAAATATTAGTTTTTATTATGATCTATATAAAATTAATAAACGTTAACCATCTGTTTGACTTACAGTTCAATCACTACTGGGGTCAATAAATTTTGAACAAGTGTCTTTAATGCCTCTTGATTTCTCTCCATTTTGATTCCTAAATCATCGGATCAATTTTTAAGGTCCATGTCAATCCCAATATGTTGAGCTTTTTTTTTAATATATATAATTATGTATTTATGCTATGAATTACAGCTTTTTTTTACCATTTTCTTTTGACTGATTTTCGAGTACTGTCCTTTAGGAATTAGGATGGCAAATTTTATCGGCCTAAGGTGCAATGTGTTGAGCAATATACTTGGGAATTGATGTGGGCTATCAAAATTGGTTCAATTAATGACCAAAAAACTAATATAAACAAATAAAAAGGCACTCTCAGAAGTCAATTAGAATCTGAAAAAGCTAGCTAAATGGGGGGGAAAAAAGATATTTCAGACAATTGACTTTTTGCTTTAAAAAACTCTAAAGTTAAAGCTTTTTTTTTTTTGGTTTTTCGCGTTTTTTTCCCTTTCCATTTTAATTTTCTGAAACCAACTTTTCAATATATTATATAACCAAGTTTATGTTAAGCTGATTCTCTTATAAAAAATTGTTAAAACATAAATCATATTATGCTAATTCATCTTTACTCCTACTTTGCCGGAATCAACTAAGATAAATTTAAACAAGCCTTCTAGACGGGGAGGATTTGGCTTTTTTTTTTTTCCCCTCCCTGTATTCCGAGAAAATTAAAATCAATCTCTGAAAGATAGTCTTGGTCAAAAAAAAAAAAAAAAAGAACAAAGCAATAATAAAAAGTCTTTGGCCGTTGCCACTCTCCTACTTTCACTATAAATTCACACACAGCTAGCTAGCTAGCTAACCCGTCCTCTTCTCAACTTGCGTCTCTTTTTCTTTCTCATCATCGACTTTCTTTTTGAATACTGATAATTTTCCCAAGAAACAAAACAAGCAATGGGGAGAGAAACTTGGTGGGTCCTTTTCCTTCTCTCAGCACTACTCTTTCCGGATGAAACCCATGGAAGCTGCAGAAGGCAAGAACAAGCCCTCAAGAATCTGAATAAGGCCAAATTCTGGGGAGGAGGTTCCATTGACAGAAGCAGTGAAACATCCTTGGAGGTAGATAAGGCTGTGTTTGGAGACTCCGATGATAATTCTCGTTACTACTACCCTCAACAAGGACTGAAAGAGAAAGATAGGATAGAGAGACTTCCAGGACAGCCTGAAAATGTCAACATCTCTCAGTATGGAGGGTATGTGACTGTGGATAAAGTTGCAGGAAGAGCTTTTTATTATTATTTTGTTGAAGCCCAACAATCTAATAGACACAAATTGCCTCTTCTTCTCTGGCTCAATGGAGGTATGTATAGTATATTACTTCTTGCTGTTTAATTGATTATTTAGCCATTTAGGTTTGTTTTTCTCTTCAGTTGCGTTTGTGGCCACCGTTGGAAAAGAGGAGATAAAATGCATATTGTAGTGGTGGAGCCTACTTGTATATTAGGTGCTTGTGAAGTTTTGTATGCGTCTGTTAAATAGTCAAACACAGCGCGGATGACCCGACAGTACTGCATAGAAAGAAAAAGTGAGAGGCAAACAAATTAAGCCGCTGAAATCATGGAGTATGTGTAATGACATGTTCATTTGCCTCTCTTGGTTTTGTCAATTACAAGTGTTCTACACTGCTAGAAATCAATAACGATTTTGATTTCTTCTTATCTGTCGATGAGTGTGCAGTTGACGTTGACTGTGGAAATTAAAATGAATCACTAACTGGCTAGCTTCCAATAATAATCCTCAATCGTGCTGCAAATTGATTGAAAGATATATAGCAGAAATTAAGGTCGTGTTTGATAGAAAACATTGAAAATAAGAGATAGGGATTTAGAATGTGATTGAAAAAAATCATTAAAAAAATCTTTAGCAAGAGTAATTGTTTGTTATATGGGATTGGACAAACTCATAGAAGTAGGATCGGGAAATACCATATTCCCCCATGGGATTTCCCATTCCCTCATACATGCATGGGTTTATCTAATCCCATGTAACAAGTAATCTCTCATGCTAAATATTTTTTTAGTAGACTTTTTCAATCTCAATTCTAATTCCTATTCCTTATTTTTAATACCTCATACCAAACAGGACATAAAAGTTTCTCACATTAATTCTCTCAGGTCTGAATCTGATCCATTATTATAGGTCCAGGATGTTCATCTCTAGCATATGGAGCAATGCAAGAACTTGGACCTTTCCGAGTAAACAGTGACGGCAAAACACTTCAGACAAACAAATACTCATGGAACTACGGTACCTCTCTTCACATGATCAATATTAACATAAATTTGTGCTATACTATATTAATTCATGTCACTGTAAATGTCTATAATGATTGATATATATGGGGGTTGGAGTTGCAGCTGCAAATGTATTATTCTTAGAATCACCAGCAGGAGTGGGATTTTCATATTCAAATAAGACATCGGATTATGACATTAATGGGGATAGAAGAACTGCTGCAGACAACTACGTGTTCTTAAGGAATTGGTTGGAAAGGTTTGCAGAGTATAAGAATTATGATTTCTACATTGCTGGGGAGAGCTATGCTGGGCATTATGTTCCTCAGCTTGCTCACAACATTCTCTACCACAACAACCACCCCAACTCCTCTTTCTTCATCAATCTCAAAGGCATCCTGGTATGTATATGTCCCTTCCATCTTTTTTCTTCTTGATCATATGGCTATAAGAATTGAAGATATATTATGGATCATGCAGATAGGGAATGCAGTGATAAATGATGAGACAGACAACAAAGGAATGTGGGATTTCTTGGCGAGCCATGCCATAATATCAGACCAAGCTGCGCATGATGTTACCAAATTCTGTGACTTCTCAGAGATTACCACTACTCATAGCGATGAATGCAAAGCAGCTTATGAGGAAATAGGCAAAGATACTTCCTTTATTGACATATACAATATCTATGCTCCTCAGTGCCTTAATTCCAACCTCACTTCCCACCCTAAGCCTCCCTCAGTAAGTATTCTACTTCTTAGATTTTCCTTAAGATATGTAAAGAAGTTGAACATGTAGAAACAAAACATTGTTAACGGCGACATTCCCAAATTGTATTATCAGAAAATAAGGTACATTGGCCAATGGATAGTACATATAGTATAATACTAAGATCCTTAAAGCTTAATTTGTTAAACTGTGAGTTTAATTTGTTAATGATATGTATATATGTAGGTAATGATAGATCCATGCAGTGAGTATTATGTGGATGCATACATGAACAGGGGTGAGGTGCAAGAGGCATTACATGCCAATGTCACAAAACTGACACATGAGTGGTATCCTTGTGTTGGTGTCCATTGGATTGATAGCCCTTCCACCATGCTTCCCCTCTTACAAGAAATCCTCAATCATAGCCTTCGTGTTTGGATTTACAGGTATATACATGTCCACTCACTAACCATATTTACTGTGTGATTTTATCAGAATGAGCTGTATTTGTTTATATTTTAACAGGTAAAATTTAATCTTTTGGTATTTACAATTTTGACTCTGTTGTAATCCGGTATCTAAATTTTAACTTGGTGCAACTCAATCCCTATAATTCTGACATGGTTGTAACTTAGTCTCTGATGAATTTTGACTTGTTGCAACCTAACTTAACTATTGAAAATGTTAGTCCTATATTTCAATATGTGTACATATATATATATATATATATGTTTCATGAAACTTAGGAATTAAAGGTCTAAATAGTATCATTATTCATCATAATTTGCACAAACCACGATATTGTTGTTTTGTATTAATCAAAGTTTGGGACCATTAATAATTTTATTCATAAAGTATAAATGTAGAAAAATACATTTGTGTGTATTTAAAATAGTGACCTAGAATATGAGAAAATAAAATGCAGTGGCGACATAGATGGGATGGTGCCAGTAACTTCAACCAAGTATTCCATTGAGAAGTTGAATCTTCCTCTCAAGACTGTTTGGCATCCTTGGTTCCTAAATGGAGAGGTAATTAATAATTTATGCATTCACAATGTCACCCACAACTTTAAAATTCTTTTTCCAAAACAAAAGGTTATTTTATTACGTTGAAGTGATACTACCTCACATCTTAAATATAAGATCTTGAATCGGAGGAGTTTTGAAATTCTAAAAATTTCCAAAACAAAAAATATTATTAATGTTAGGGTTATTTTATTTCGAGCAATTTTAAAATTTACAATTACAATAATACTTTGAAATAATTTTTTTTCCCAAAACCATAACATTCAAGAGAACAAATGAATTCTTCCAAACATTAATTCTAATTAAGATTTGAATGAAAATAGGTAGGAGGATACACACAAGAGTACAAGGGAGGCTTGACATTTGCAACAGTGAGAGGAGCAGGGCATGAAGTGCCAAGCTACCAGCCAGGAAGAGCCCTTTCTTTGGTCAATCACTTCTTAAAAGGCATCCCTCTTCCTAATTCCACTGCCTCAATACTACATTATGCCTAATTTCCATGTTTAGTTTTCACCCATTTTGATTAAGTTCTTTTTTTTTGGGTGATTTATGTTACTTTCAAGCAATGTAATTTCAGTTATCCATCATTATAATAAAGTTGTGGTTGGAACAAGATTCTAATGGTCCCATGCCATATCATAGCACCTTATGAATAGGATAGGTTTCTTGTTGAAATTTAAACGGATCATGACGCATGAGAGTTTTTTTTTAAACACATATATGATATAAATAACTAGCTTAACTAATTTTTTTAATAATCATAAATTATCTATTTAGCTCTTACATATTCAAGAGGAGAGAAAAATATTAATCTATGGTATGCATGGGTAATTGGTTAGAGGAACTATGGCTTCGTATTTTTTGCCATATGCAATTTATTAGGCCAGAAATCCAACTTATTATAATAACATGCCGGAAAATATATGCATTTTAGCAGAAATATTTAAAAATTTATTTTTTTATTATAATAACATTATATTAAAAAGAAAGATCGACATCTTGTTCTTGCTGGATTATTGTTGCACATCATCAATTTATTTTACCAAAAGAGGACCTTTTTTGTGTTAAAAGAATTACTGGGGACAGCCTATGTTATAATCCGATACCATAAAGCCCACCTATAGAATCCAGGAATAATCGTATACGAGAGAAGTGGATTGGACCCAACATTTTGAGCCATTTTTATGTGATGGCGTAGAAGTTTTGTAGATAAATGCTTTCCCGAGATATTAGGTCTAATAGAAACAGCTAGTCCTCTACAATATAGTGAATTATAATATTCAAATTTTTGCTAAGAAAAGTGCCTATATTTAGTATCTTACAGTGTCTTGAACGGGTCTGGATCCTCTCAGAATCCTTCTTTCTTATTTTTTTCTCAGAATTTGATCTCCAACTTTAAATCAAATAATGAATTGTTCATATTTCATCTTTTATAAGACTATTATTATAACATTGCATAAATAAGAGAGAGAATGTGGATATCTGTTTTTGAAAATATTAAATCTGAATCACCTATTATTTGATCCAATAGTAGAGATGAGATTCTGAGAATAAAAGGAGAAAGAAGGATTCTGAGAGATTCAGATCCTGTCTCAAACAGAATTACTTTCAATAAAAAGGATATCTGTGTTGAGCAAAAAAAAAAAAACACTTTTTGGAGATTAAATTTAGTGAAAAAGGTTAGTTCTTTATAACGTGGTAAACCAAGATTAAATTCAAACTATTTAATATATTATTAAAATGTTAATTTTCTCCTTTTTTTAAAAAATATTTTCTTTATCTCATCACATCTAAATTTATTTGTAGAATTTTGTCTGCTTTATGCTATGTTTGGATGGAGAGAAAATGAGAAAGGAAAGAAAATTGGGAAGGAAAATGGGAGGAGAAATGGTTTTTTCCCTATTTGGATGACGGAAGAAAAGTGGGAGGAAAGAAAAGTTGAAGAGAAAATGTGGTGGGTCCCACTGTCCATTTTCTTCCCAACTTTTCTCTCCATTTATGAAGAGAAAATGAGAAGAAAATATATTTTTCCTTTCTACTCTTACATATGTTTTTTCAGCAAAATAATACCTAATTATTTTTTTCATTTTTTCACTTTATTTATTATTATCAAGTCTTTCTTCTGTATTTGCTTGATTAAAAAAAATAAAATAACTAAAATTGCAAAAATCCTTCTGAAATGAATTGAAAGGAAAAACAAGTTTGTCGTTTTGGTTTTTTTTTAGCATTACATTACACAAAATGTTATTTTTTTCTTTTTTCTTTTACAAAATTATTTGATATTAAAAGATAATAACATGATAATATATCTTTATCAAATAATTTGATTTTAAATTATATGATTATGTTAATATAAATATGGTTTTTCATTATGATATTTAATTTGATTTTAATCAGAAAGGGTATTTTAGTCATTCATATTTTACTCATTTTCTTTTCTTTCTGTTTTCTCTTGTCCATTCAAACATGAGAGGTGATAATATTTTCTCTCAAATTTTCTCTTCTCTCTGTTTTCTCTCCTCTCATTTTCTTTCCTCTTAACTTTTCTTTCCATCCAAACAAAGAGTTACAGTGATATGGACAGTCACTTAATTAGGCAGTGACAGTGGCTGCTTTTTGAATAATAATTAAGTTATTTCCATTGACTCAAAAAGAAGCCATCTTTGAAAGAAATTGTTCACAATCTCTCGATGACAACAGTTTAAAAAATTGAAACAAAAATGATATTTATATTAAATAAAAATTCAAAAAAAATTAAATATGTAAAAAAATGAATATTTGTTTTGCAAGTTTTCATTTTAAGATATTTTCACTTAAATTTATAGAATTTTCAACATAATATCTTTGACCTAAAATTATTAATTTTCCTTCTAAACAAAGATTGTATAAGAAAAGAAAAAGAAAGAGAAAACAAAAAATTGATGGCATTTTCTAAAGTGGTGATTGAGTTGTTACACAAAAAAGATTCCGTTCTAACGGACGCATGGGATCAAACAAAGTAGCAAGAGCCAGATTAGGAGTGTTTAAAACGGTTGTCCTGTTCTAGTCCAGGTAAGTTCGGGATGGGATGAGACAAAAAAAAAAAATTCGGGATGAGACAAGTATGAGACGGAACGACTCAGGATTTTTTTTTTAAAATTATTTGTTGATAATTTTTATTAGATTATTTAACTTACTTATTAATAATAATTATTTTTATAGTAATTTTTAATTTTTAAGTTGTAGTATTATCTCAACAAAATCTCTTTCCTCAATAAAATAATTCATAAAGCTATTATATAATGTTTCTTTTACGGTATTATTTTTACACCTTTTTTATATTATATAATTGAGCTTTTTATATAATATTTTTTTATAATGTTTTTATCTTCAAAAGCCTAATAAAAAATAAGCATTATAACACAAAAAAATTTATAAAAAAATTATAGTATTTTTTTTAAAGGAGAAATGGGACGGGATAAAGGACAAAAGTCCTGTCTTGTCTCTGTTCACTGAGACAGGACCAGGACGGCTTGTCCTAGTCCGTTCCGTGAACACTCATAAGCTAGATAACTACAATAATGAGAAAAGTGCATTTTAGGATTTCATTTTGTCTAAAATGATAAGACGCTTTATATTAAGACGCTTTATTTTAGATTATATTCCTAATAAGTTAGTCAATAGCCTTTTCTTTTTTTTTTTGGCCAAAAGTCAATAGCCTTTAAGAGTAAACGTTTTTGTTCTTTTCATGAAAGATTAAAAAATGCCTTTTATTTTGAGCATGATACTTCAGAAAAAAAAAAAAGGTCCTCTATTATCTGAACGGCACGGTGTTTTTTTTCATCTTAGCTCATGCACTTATTATTTTCTACTAAAAATTGAAACTCACAACCTAACAAGGAAAAAAAAGAGAGAAAGAAATGTACTTGATGTCTTTGGACAATAAAGCTCCAAAATCTTCAAGCATATTTTACAACCTATTCTTTATTTTAATTCATTCAAATTAAAAAAATCAATTAAGATTGGTCCAAAAAAATTAAGAAGCTTCCAAAAAAGGAGTCCAAAGTTAGTATATCCTACTACAATCTTTTCAGAAAATGAAATCTAAAGTTAAATCATTCCAAAAAAAAAAAAACATGGTTTGTATTTCATTTGTGGATTGCATTACATCCTAACATTTCAATTCAACAAAACCCACCTAATTCTCCATTAATTTCTTTCCCTTTCACAAGTTTGTTGCTATGGCTTATATGCATATTCTGGTCAAAAAGCCTTTGTTTTAACCTTTTGGACTTTGTGTGGGTGCGCACGCGCGAGAGGCACTTTATCACTTTTGGGTTTTGGGCGTATATGAAGCTTTTATCATTGTTGACCGATGGCTTTATAATTCCACAGGGATAATTATTGGCCCAAAACAGGGGGGAAGAAATGATCATGCAACTCTTGGAATCTAAAGAAACAAGAATATTACTGGTCAACATTGCCAATGAGGGTTGGGTCTGCTAATCCCTCACACAATAGGAAACTAATATTCAAATTCCTATTAAAAGATGTGTTCACATTTAGTACCCGATAATGTCTTAAATAGAACTGTCTCCAATAAGAGGATACTTATGTTTTAATAAAAAAAATTATTGGTCAACATTTAAATTGAGTTGTTGTAAATAAATTTCCATATGTTATACCAGTGACAAATTCTCATAATTACTTAAAAAAAAGTTATGTCCTCTCATATGTCTATTTTATACCGTATAAAATCATTTAAAATAAATTAATTCAACCAATGGACTCTTCAAGTTGCTAAAAAAAGTAGCATTCAATTTGGCACATATATAGGAAAAATGACATAAAAAAGAAACCTGAAAATCTGAAATGTCAAAACAAGAAGCCAAGCAAATGTAATGACAAATTGCGAAGTGTTGCCTCACAGGGGATTATAGAAATGTTGCTCAATTACAAAAAAAACCCTTGTATGGCCCAAATAATAAACATTTATAGTGGAGAGAAGAAAAGTGTGGCGAGAGCTAGGGGAAAAAGTTGGAAAGGAACATGAACATAGGAGCACAAACGTGGAAAGCAACTAACGAACGAAGTAAGCGAGTGAGGTTAGTATTCAGTGACCATATTCTTCTTCTCTTTCTTTTCTCCATCTCCTTTCTACGCTGGTTCATCTTGTTTCCGTTGGACAGGAATGTTGTCAGAGTAAGGCTGGTTTTGAGATGGAGAGGGTGGCGAAGTAGGGAGATGTTTTGGGTATATAGAGCCTGTAGGGAAGGACAGCAATCAGAGGGTGCATGCATGGGGAAGCAAAAATATTGAGGGAGAGGGGTTTGATGGTGTCACAAATGGGTCAGAGTGATTAGTGTTAGAAAAAGGGGACAATATTGAAGGGGGATTCGAATAATAGAGTCGATTGATTCTAGGAAAATGAAGCATGAGTGTGGATAGGAAAGAAATGAGTGTTTGTTACAAATTATAAGCATGAATGTGTCAAACCCTAATCTGGTTGTGTAAGCTGATGATGATGGTATTATGTTGGTGAAATTGAAGTGATGAGCTAAATGTTAAGTCATATAATCATTCTTCTTCTGTTATGAGGGTAGGTAATGATGCAAAATGAATTTTGAAGCTAGG